CGACTAAGCAGCAGCAGCAGCAGCGACTAAGCAGCAGCAGCAGCAGCAGCAGCAGCGACCGCAGCAGCAGCAGCAGGGAAAGAGTGAGCTTTCCTTAGGGTCTGTCGTGCCCCAACATTTGGTCTCGAACAATAGCACATATAGGTGCTGCCTGAGTAATTGTAGAAGGGCGACGTGGAAAGACAGATATATCCGATATATCTGCTTTTTTCACGAATAAATGCTGACGATGCAGCCAGCAGCGGTGTGCATGATTGACATCTAGGGGTTGTATGCGAACATGTGTCAGCGACCGAAGACTCCGTCGCAACGCTTGTGCATGCTCCCTGTCGCTCGAACATGGAACGCGGACTACCATGAGTGAAGCAAACAGCCCGTTCAAACATCTTACTGGGTTCTGTCATTATGTGTGAAGTAAGTATCATCTTTTGATCTGCATGGATAGCGGATAGTGCATTCTGATTTGTACTCTTGGGTTGTGGGGTGGGCACATGCCTGCACAAGCTTCTTAAGGATATAGTGAAATTAGCATCGTTTCACGACTCAGAGGGAATGCAACTACTCTCCAACAGCAGCCAACAACCCCAAACAGCAACAGCAGCAAAACGGAGCAGACAACAAGCAGCAGGCAGCCATGCAAGCAGCAAGCAGCAGCAACCAGCAAGCAGCCAAGAGCATCCAGCAGCACCAAGCATGCAAGCAGCAAGCAGCCAAGAGCCAGGCCAGCAGCAGCAGCGACCAAGCAGCAGCAGCAGGTACCGAGGAGGAGAAGGGTGGAGTTGAACCCAGCGAGGGGGGGGGTCTAGTCCTGATATATCAGGTAATAGCACTCAGGTCCTCAGCTCCCACCCTCCTTGCTAAAGCAAGACAGACTCCAGCTAGCTACAGTACAGCTAGCTTTCGTGACAAACGACATTCCAAAGAATTGCAACTAGCCCAAAGGATTCCACAATGGTCCCTTGGTTTGCAAAAGAACATGTAGTGAAACGATGTGAAACGTTTCATACCCGAAGTTCTCCTGCAGTTTGCACGACGCCACCGCCTCCCCGTGCCGGGCTTCGCCTAAGAGCTGCCGCTTCAGCAAGGGTGGCCAAGCGCTCTGTCCACCGCCTTGTCCTCCAAAACCCTCCGCGGAGAGCACCTGAGCACATCAAAACACATCAGGACAAGCTACTTGCAGCAATCCTGGTTGTTCCGGAGAATCAATTCAGCAACTTTAAAGTTGGTAAAGTTGGTCATAAACAAAAGGCTGACCCTGTTTGACCCTCACCTTCAAACCGTTCAACAGATTCCGAGCGTCTCGCTGCACTTGAGGTCTACTAATTCGATGAATCGTGTCCAATCACCCAGGATTGGCGCTGTTCCTGCCTCCGTGTATCGTGGTTTAAAACCACGAAGCATTCATTCACGTATGTTCTGTATACTATATCATTGTGAAACAGCCCGTCGAATCGAACCCTTTCCCTCCCTCCCCCTCCCACGCGTCTGGGTCCAAGGCACTGCCACGCTCTTCCGCGCCAAGGCCTCCGCGCACCCCAGAGGCGCCGAGGGCCAAACCAGGCTGCGGGCCGCATCCCAGGGCCGTGCCAGGAACGCCTTGACGGAACACCGGAACACTTCCCGGAGAAGCTCCGGGAAAAAAAGAATCCTTCAAATGGTCTTGAGTGGAGAAAGGAACTCCATTCTGTCCATCGATCCATTCAAACTTGTTGAGATACCTTTTTGTTGCCAGGTGAGGGGGGCAACTTTGGAGAAGTTTGGGTGGTTTTTGGGGGAGTCGAACTCAAAAGCAGGACAGCTTCCACAAGCGTGGGAGTAGGAACATTGGATCCAGGTATGTCATGTCTCACAATGACGGGACTCTACGAATGTCGCGCTCAGCTATATAGATATGTAGAATGTAGAAAAGGAATATTCTACTTGCATGTATGGATAGAAGCTTCTAGTAGCAGGAACATAGGGCATCACCACTAGGAGCAAGAAGCTACTAGTAGCTTGTGGCATCGCTGCTAGGAGCGTTCGGACGCTACTAGGGGCTCCTGGCCGTACTACTAGTAACAAGAAGCTACTGGGACCTTTTTCTCAAAAACTTCAACCAAGATAAAGCCATAATTGCTCAGCAAAATCTCCTCACCTCCAAGCTTGACCTCGCCTCCACCCTGGAGCAGCACGGCCCAGAGTCGGACATCTCACCTCGCAGCACGTCGCCGCAGGCCTTCAAGCGCCGAACCGGCCAAACCCCAAGCACTGCACTGTGACAGCTGCATTGGGAGGTGAATCGCGCTATGATTTGTAAGATGAGGTGAATTGTGATTCTGCAAGCTGGGCACACCACTCGACAAGCTCTAGTTCAAGCCTTTATTGAAAAGTGCAGATTTACTTACACTTCCAAAGACCCAGTTTTTTCAAGGGTCGTGGGCAGCGCAAATGGAGACCGCAAGTATATATATTTTGGTGAGCAAGGCAAATCCAGTCTCCGTCTCAGTGCTGCCCTGGCTTTTTCCAACAAAAGCCCCTCTCTCAATAGAGGGGAATGTGCCAGGCCCCTTTCCGCTACCATCCACCTCAATACTAGCTTGGTATCTGCTTCACAGTCCCGAACGTAACCTGAGATTCTATGCCGGTCACTCTAGTCACTCTAGTCATCACCAGGTGGTAGAGAGACCATCAAAACATCTATGCGGAAGCACAATACAAAAAAGAGAGGAGGAGGATATGTATACTGTATACTGTGTATGCGTGAGTCTATGTATTTCTATATGTACATATATATTAAAACACGTGCTGGCTCCAGCTCCTTAGACTCACAGCACAAACCTCTCAAAGTCATCCTTGGAACGCAAGACGACAAAAGTAAAGAGCATTTAATCATGTCAACAACATGTTGTGTTTTCTTGGCAGCCCCCCAGAGCCAGGAGCTTCAACATGTCCTCTACCGACCCACATGGCATCTCCACTTGGCATCTCACCTCCCCTTCGGCCAAGCCGTCCAGAAGTTCCGTCGTGGCGCGCAAGGCGGCCAGTTGCACCTGGGCTGTTCACAGGTCGCATCCTTTTGTTGGACAGCTGGTAACAACAAGAAACACGGCAGAGCAAGGCTGCTTGCTCAAGCCTGAATGTGACAATCATACAATCATGATACCGGCCTCTCTCAAAATGAGGTCTTGGAAGGTCTTGGAAGCACATGCAGCATGCACGTGTCCAATCGCAATTCATCACAGTGCATTGAATGATCATGCTTTGTAAAGGCCATGTTGCACTATAGAGACAGTACCGAAGACATGGACATGGACACTCACGAAACTATATATAAATGTCCCGGTTCATTGGTGCTGAGTGCTGGTTCGGAAACCAATGGGGACGGACAAGCCAATTGCAACGCCAAAGTCCATGTTAACCAGACGTAACACCGGACTGTTAGCCAAACGTAACACCACCCAACTGCTAGGCAGCTGGTCTATAAAAGACTGACTTCTTGGCTGTATATTTATTATAGCTAAATTGCCACAGTGGTCAATGCCACAGGAATGCGCCATGTCAAATGGTCCCTTTTGAATAGTGCCTGGATATGTATTCTGTCCTGTGTGTCTTTTTCCCGGCGTCGCATGTCATAGAAGTGGGCTGCAGGATGAACAGCAGAACATGTTCCTTCACAGAAGTTGAGAATAATCAACACCATTCTGGCTGTTGTCTTGTAGATCTTGCAGTCCCCTTCGATGATGAGCGTGACGAAATCTGAACAAATCGACCGCAGCAACCTCCCCTGCGGCGGAATGAATAGAGTACTCTGCACCCGTACCAATCAGAGTATTGAGGAGATGGCGTAAAACAATTATATAAACCCATAACCAAGACTGTGATTACAGTACTGCAACCCTCCAGAATGGCATTGAAATGTCCATATCGAAATATTATCCTCAACAGCCTACAGTCCATTACAGTCTAAGTCTACATAGACTCGGCCGGTTGAGGGCTCGCCCTTGCTCTGAGGGCCGCAGCCGGCTGGGCCGGATCCTGTAAAGCTTCGGCCAGGTGCTTTGGCAAATCACTCCGGGCAACGAAGTGCCAGAAGAAGACCTCACATCAACGCGTGCTCCGCATGCTCACGCTGGGTCTGTACACGTGGTCTTTCGAACTAGTGGCCCGAAACAAGCCACTCCCGCCTGACATGGAACTGCGAGACCCAAGACTTTCCAAATACATCCTAATACAGGCCTGCAAACCCAAACCGAAGCCGCAACGCCAGGGTGTGGAGGACCCCTGGCAAGACAAGGGCGCGTTTGATCAAGGCAACCCATTGGAGGAACCGTGACAACCTGTCAAATGGATGAGCAAATGCCGTCATTCTGGCCATCTCGTGCTTCCAACCCATACAGCTTGTTTCACATGCACAAAGTATGAAAAAGCATTGAAAGACTCCTGTTTGCGCTTGCTCCTGCAGCCCACCCCACCTCTCTGTGAAAGCCTGTCTGTCGGATTGCGGCATCCGCATACAGGACGTCCTGGGGCGTACTGGTGCACTAGGACCTAGAAGTCATGCACATCCAAACAAATGAGGGTGGCAATCCCATGCGAAGGCTGTCAAAAAAGAAATCAAACCAAACATAATGAAACTGCGAACCACTGAACCACTTCGATGTTTGAGATACAACTGACGTCCCCTCTGCTGTGTCGCCTGTGGCGCCGGGATGCGCGCCCGCTTCAGCACCGCTCCCAGCACGTGGAAGGCTGCAGCCCGTTGTGGCAAACTGGCCGAGCGGGACAACAGCAGCAGTTCGGCCAAGGTGTAGCCCGCCTTCACAGCGCCCCACATGGAGCTACCCTCCTCACACAATATGTCTATGCCACTCGAAAACTTACTGTTGGCAGCTCTGCTAGCCGGCGTCTGATACAGAAGGAAATAAGGCAGAGATCTGCAAGATGTTGCATATGACTCATATGACAAGCTTTAGAGGTTCCTTGTTCTCTGTCTTTTCTCTCCCTCTCTCTCTCTCTCTCTCTCTCTCTCCCCCTCTGAGAGGTGCTTTTGCTCTGGAGATCTCTGGAGTGGATTTGCACGTTTCTTCCGTTCAACTTCCACCCTTCCCCCCAACCAGCATCACCAATGCAAGAGGTTTCACCCGCTCAAATCGAAATGCTGTGTGCACAGCTCCGCACGGCATTGGTGTTTTTTCCCGGCTGTGTGGGGTGAAGCCCACAAGTGGACACCTGACACCTGAAGGGAACTCTCCATTTCATGCAGTAGAGGTTAACCAAGGTGGACTTGGGCAGCCTGGGACCTCGCCCACCCTTCCGCAAAAGGGAAAAGCAAACCCACCACGCCTGGGAACTCTCTGCACCATGGTGGTGAAGTCCCTCGTTGCTCGGCTCCTGCCGGTTGGAGGAGCCACTCTGGCAGGCTTGAAAGCCAATGGCTTCTAAAGGATGACCAGGATGAGGAGGAGAATCTCTGCCGTTGGCGGGACCAAGAGAACATCTCTTCTTCCCTTCACCCTCTCAAGCCTGCATTGACTTGATTCATCAGTTTGTGGCACAGCAGGCGAAACAAATTTGGTGGTGTTGAGATTATGTACATCCTAAGTCCTAGGATCGCTCGCCAACTTGATCGCCAACTACACAGCATCCGTAAAGAAAGTAGTTAGAAGACTGCTGTAGATAAGGGCGGCTTTGCTCTATCCAATCCAACCATCTTTTTAGGGGTATCTGATGGTTTGTGAGCCCGAGGCCCACCCTCGTCTCGCACGGTTCGTAGCTGTTGGTTCCGGTGAAGGCGGTTCCCCGCTGAGCCTCATCGATTGGAACACCGATTTCTAGAGGCCCCTGGACTCGTTTTCGCCAATCTGCCAACATCTGTGCGATGCTGAAGGCACAAGCATCTCGATGAACCCAATCCTCCATTCACCTGCCTTACGTAAATAGATCCGGAGTCCGAACAAATCGGATTCTCATAAATGATGCGGTATTACAATAAGCTTCAAAAACAGTACTTTACTATGAATCAGCTTCGGGTGCTGGTTCTTCGAGTGACGGACAACCAAAAATGAACCAAACGGTCTGCCTCAGGGGATCTCAGACATCTTTGGGGGATCCTTACCAGTGCCTTTTGAACCGGAACTCCAAGTCCATGCTCCGTCTCCGACCCATCTTTTCCGACGCATCTCGAGCATGGCCGAAGCCACGTCTCGCCGCCATGGCCTCGCTTTTCTTCGAGCAGGCTGAGGCGCACTGTGGTTTCGGGCCCCCTGTGGGTGGCCGAAGGCGGCACACTTAGATGGGCATGCCCTTGTCAGGATCCCATCCTGGGCACTCTTGAAGGGTGCCAAAAGTCCCATCAGGCTTCTTGCAATAGCTGTAAGCACAATAAGTCATGTCGCATCCAGAAGAGCCCATGGCACAAGTCCAGTCTGCCACCAACTGTGCCTCCTCTTTGCTGGGCTGCCCCGGCGCAAAGGAAGGGAAGTAGATCGCCAACATGTCGGCCATGGTCCTGTTCTTGGCTTTTTCAATTCGCGCCTCACAGAACTTGTCGGCCTTGGACTTCATCCCCTCATAGTCAAACTGCAGGGAGCGATAGTCAGCTCCAAGCCACCCGAGGTGATCGCAATAAGTGGCATCATACAGCAAGACAGCTGTGCCTGTGCTGTTAATTTGCCTGGCTTGGATCAAGAAATTCTTGTTGTACAAAGCATCTGCACACATCTTCTGCATATTCAGCTCGCAGAAGCCGTTGCTGTTGCCTCTGTCGAAGTCTGCCAAAGGCTTGAAGAGACTCTCAGGATGTTCCAAGACACTGTGGTTGCCACAGTCCTTGCGTTCCGTGTAGTTGCCCCAGGGCTTTTGCGGGTCCGGGTGCCCACAGAGGGTGCAAAACCTGCCATTCATGTCTGTGTTCATACCGCGTGTGGCATCAAGCAGCGGTATATCTTTCCAAGCCTTCTGGCCCATAGCCTTGAGCTCCAAATACTCCGGGACACGTCCGCCTCGCCGCACTTCTGCAGCCTGGGTCTGCAGGAAGGAGCTGCCCTCCGTACCCTCGTCTGAGGGCGCGGTGTTTGGAACATCCCTAGTCTCTGCCAGGCTCAAACTCAAGGCAAGGAGCCACCACATGGAGTTCAACGCGGGCTGGCCTGGACAGTGGGGTTTCTGCACATGGCCACGCTGAGGCGTTGAGACTTGGGCCAGAATGGCTACGATAAATTCGTGTGGTTTGTGCCTGTGTCGGGTGTGCCTGGGTAGTACCCTGAAAAACTTGCAATCTGCTGAGGGGTTGTATGGGAAGTGGATGGGGGGTCGAATCTATGCGATCCTGTAGGTCGGTATGATGGGAGGTGATTGCTCAGCATGTGGTTGACCCCACTAACACGATGAAAAAAAAAATATGCTGCGATGCGCCAAGCATCCAAGTCTGGTGAAGGGTCCTGGCTGCACTGCCTACAATGTCTGGCTGCACTGCTCCCTTTTCTTGGGACCTCTGCTCGAGTCTTGAGGGGCGGACATGGCTGCCGTTATTGCATAGATCTCCCATCCTTCAATATCGCAACCATGGAGCAACAAAGGTTGCACAGCCCATCCTAACACATCGCAATACCTAGTTTTGCAAAACCAATGGTTGGCAACGTGCCAAAGAGTGTTGCTTGATTGTTCCATGTGGCCCGTGGCTGTGTCTGGACACTTGAAATCTCCAAAACCACCACTTAGTGGAATGCCCCAAGCGTACCAAGCAGGTTCCCCTCCTATGGATCAATGATTCCCAACTAATTATTCCTCGGTTGGCCAGGTGTCTTCCCTTTGAACTTGATCAACATCACTTCACGAGGTCGCCGCTAAAGGTTGCTCCCCGGGTCGCTGCTCAGCATCAGCTCCTGGGCTTGCTCGCCTGGCAAGCTTTGGAGCGGGGCCCGAAGGGGGCGAGGTTCAGCTCTCACAATCAAAACTCACACCAAAAAGCATGTGGCATATCAACTCGAAGATGCTAGAAGTCTAAGAGTGTTGGGATGTGTATGTATATATATATAACTATATATATATACTGTATATGCGCATGTACTTGAGTTCTCCTCCATGTAGATGTCCGCATCAATGATTCCACAAATCCCTGAGGCACTTCATGGATATGCATGCTTCAGATTCGCCATACTTTCCAAGAGCAACCCACTAGTCACTAATTCCAGCTCCTCCGAGTCCGAGTCCACCCTCAGCTCACGCTCACATGCCTCTGGGGCACACGCGGCCCTCAAAATCAAAGCGCATGAGCTGCAGTGCTCGGCCGCAGGGCTCCGGTGGCAGGCTGGCATCTGCCAGAACCTGTTCCAAGCCGTGGCCATATGGGTAAACGCTGAAGTGGTTAAGATTGGTGCTTTTCGTCCAACCGGCAAACGTTCACTTAAAGATGTTGCTTTGCTATTCTTTCGCATCGCACATCACATCACGGCATCTGTCTCTGCCAAAACCTTGGTGGTGCTCGCGTGCTCGCTCGCTCTCGCTCTCGCTCTCCCTCCAACTCTCGCTCTCTCGCTCTCTCTGTCTCTCTCTCTCGCTTTCTTCCTTGTATTCTGCTCATGGCCGGGCAACCAGGATGTGCACATTGAGTCTTTCAACTCTCCACCGTCCGCACGCGGGGCCTTCTCCAAGTCGGGCTCTCCAGCCGGCAAGGTCCACCTGATGTTTCGGACGTGGATTAGGGGTGTGTGTGCGTGTGTCTCTCTCTCTCTCTCTCTGTGATTTCGCTGATGTCACTGGAGGCAGGGATCTGCAAGTCCCACATCTGATCACGAGTCAGCCACAATGAATTATCATCATCAGCTCTGCCAATTACAGTATTTAATTATGAGCACCCTGGCAACCGTGGCCCCAGCTGAAGCTTCTGTAGCTCTGACCGGTCCAGCACACCAAGACAGCCCTGGCCGAAAACTGGTTGCAACTATTGAAAACTGAACATACCAGTACTTCTATTATTTCAGACCTCTTCGTGCTTGAACAGTGTGCAGCAAGGAGGCCTGTCACAACTGTTACATTCGCCTGCTCCGTCTCTAAGGCGATGGGATTGCCTGCCTCCGGCTCCACGTCCTGGCTTCAAATCTTCGTCGCTACACCAAAGTCTCAGCTTTTAGGGCTGGTGGTGCTGCAACCCCATTAATTCTGGCCATCATGACCCTCCTGCAAGGTTGCAGCAAAGGCCGAGAGAAAGGCCGCAAATCAGAAGCTTGCCAATCCTGCCTCTGCAGCTTTTGCCACTGGCTCCTTGACCTGAAGACATGGACGGGGACAAGGACACGAAACGCTTGGACCCCTCGAACGCGGCGATGTTCGATTCCGTGACCGGTTAGGCCCAAGCCTCAAGCGGGACATCAACGGATTGGCCCAAAATCACCAAAAATGGCTTCGCATGAACCTCTTGGTCTCCCATCCCTGCCCATTCTTCTTGACCTCGCAGCTCTAGAATCCTAAGATCCTGCCTCTTCTTCAGCCCTCTTCAGCGCGGGTGTCTTGGGCATCTTGGCTTTGAGCTTCCGCTGCCCTCGCTTCCGGAGGAGTTCGCAGGTCTCGGCGCCCAAGTGTTGCAGCAGCTGCTGCTGCCACTCCCTGACCTCTGAAGAGGTCGACAGTCCACGCAACCGGCTGGGCGCTGAAGATGTGAACGCCCCAACCGTTGTCTGCCAACACTTCTACAACACTATATGGTGTTTCCATGAAAGAATTGGCCAAAACCTTGGATCATCAGCACACATGGACCTTTCGTGTTGGAGACTGCTGGAAACTGCTCTTCATGCTGGAAACTGCTCAATGGAGCCCTTCGTGTTCAAGCAGAGAAGATGCCGCACTCAAGCTCACGGGCCCACAAGGCGATCTATTTCCCCCCGGCCACCGACGACAGCCTCTTCGGGCGAAGTGTTCATGAGCATCTTCCGGTTTTCCAGGTCGATTTCCTCCTCCTCAAGCCAAGGGATCTGGAGGACACATGGTCTCCCTGCCAAAACACCGCGATGAACGCTGCGGATGGTAACTCGCCAGGTTTGGGGAAGGAGAATTGCTCCTAGTTGACTTCTCTGGCAAAACGACATACAACATGTTCGTTCATACTTCGGCACAGATCTGCTGTTCTGTGGCACCTCGTCCTCCGGCTCATCCGAGCTCTCCCTTCGAGGCTTCAGCGCGGTGCCCAGAGACTTGCCAACCTGAAGGAGTTTCACGGATTTGGGGGCAGCAAAGGCCGTGTATCATGCACCTCGATTGGACATGTACTGGTTGGAAGCCATTTGTGTTTGAAAATGACCTCCATCTTGATGGCAAACCCGATGTTCCAAAGCCAACAGCCAAAGACTTCTCGTTCCCAGACTCATCACCTCATATCCCCTCCGTGCCGCTCTGGCACTGCCCGATGGAGGGGTACCGGAAAGCCGCTCTCAGGGGCCAGGAAGCTGCCCGCCTCGTGCGCCGCATCGCGACGAGGCGAGGTTGGGAAGGAACAGGTCTCGGAAAGCGTGGCCCTGCCCTCCTAATACTTAATTGAGTAGGCGTAATTGAGTGGAGAAGTAAGCTACTAGCAATAGGAAGCGCTCGCACTAATCATTTGGTTTGGTTCCTAGATATTTTTGGTATACTTAGTTGGACTGGTGAACAACAAGTCACAGGAACTCAGCTAAATGTGCTTTGCCAAGAAATCTTGGCATCCGACTGCAAGACCAGGCGTGATGTTGAGAGTCCCTAAATGATGAGAAGACATTTCGGACTGGTGTTCTGCACTCGTTACACCTCTTGGCAGAGGAAACATGGCAGGTCATCCATGCTCGCATCAAATGAAAACTGTAAACGGCACGCCAGGTAAAAAACGCCTAGCCTGAAAACTGACATTATTCCCGCCAATTCCCCACCTTGGGATCTCCTCCAACACGCTCCGTGACTTCTTTCAGACACGAAGGCTGCTCCTCACCTGCGCACCGGGGGCACACCTCCGACCAGCAAACAAGTTGCTTGTCAGCCAAACCCAACTTTGGGCTATACAATTGGGATCCAACCAGAGGAAAATTTTGATCACGACCTCGCGCGGTCCCGGCCCCAAAAATCGATCGCACAACCCCACACAGGCGCTTCCTCCCCGCTCCGGGCACATCACGCGCACCTTCCAGTGCCTGAAGCTCTGGATGTGCACTTCCAGCTTCCCGGCCTCATCTAATCTCACTGGACCAGATTCCAGGTTCAAGCTGGTTATTGCCACCTTGGACAACCAGCTCGGGTGTGGTCAAAGAACAAATGCAATCCTGTCGCTGCCTTGGCAAATTGCTATAAGTGAAAGGTGCACATGCAACGTGCGAAGGCTGGACAGGCCTTGCCGCAGTTGCTTGAAGAGAGATGGCTTGGCAACAGGAACTTTGTCATCCTGACAAGACCCACCGATGGTATGTGGGTGAGAAGGGGGGGGCGAAGAAGCCATGACATGGACTGAAGTGAACATATATGAACATGTGGTGGGTTGAACTCGCTCTTTAGACTTCAGTCAGGCCCTTAAACTTGATACATGGTGACCCAAAAAGGGAGGGCAGCATCAAAAGTTCACGCAAGGATCTACCAGCCGTGAACCCGTGGGTCAAGAAGTGAAGTTGACACGCAAGTTCGTGGAAGGAGAGCAACAACATGTTAAAAAAAATAGTAACAAGATGGAACCCACGAACCCGAATGCAAACACGCTCGAAAAACTACATATGTCCAAATGACACTCTTGTAGGACACTCTTGTGGGACACTCTT